CATAGGTGGCCAACAAATTGGCTGCTGCTGCTGCTGGGTTGGCACTGGCAGCTGCTGCAGCCAAAGCCCCTGTAGCTGCTGCCTGACTTAGGCCTAAACCTAATGTATTGAGATTATATCCATAGCTGGCTAACGTATTAAGTGCAGAGGTGATGGCCACCAGGTCATTGCCTGTAAAGCCAGATAAAACTGCTGGAAAGGCTGCCACTCCAGCAAGGTTAGCATGTCCTAATAGCCCTGCAGCAGCTGCAGCAGTTGGTAACACTTCAGCAGTGTTTGCATAAGGAGATCCGGTTGGATTGGAATTGGCCACTGGACCTGTGACATTGGCATAACTGATATTGAGACAGCTGCCACTCTGTGGATCCTCTTGTATCTTCTGGATGATAAGTTCAACAGCTTTTCGGTTTTGTTCAGGTTCTCCACTCACAGTGACAACCCTCTCTTGCAAGTTGATCCCATCAGGTTTCTGGGAAAGCTGCACCCAAGCCCCTGACTGCTCCATTATAGCCTTCACTGTAGCACCTCCCTTCCCTATTATCAGACCTGCTGTGCTGTTGGGAACTATAATCTTTACCTGTAATTAAAAAAAATATATATAAATAATACTTCTGCTTTGTGCATAAACACTATAATATTTTGCTACCTTATAAAAGGAAGGAAAAGAATGAAGCAAGTTAGTTATCATCTTTTTAAAAGAAAAGGTTAGAGAAATATTAAAAAGAAATACAGCTCATCACAATTTTTAATGCTCTGCATCTGTTTCAAATGTACAATACAAAGAATTAAAAGTAAAGTAACAGGAAATCATATTTATCATTCTCCCACAGAATATAGCACTTTCAGCATAGTACATTTCAGACCAAAAGATTAAGCAAACGCTGGTATTATGCTCGTATGGAAAGACTGTCTTAGATTTTATCAAAGTGAGTGTTTTCATCTGATTCCTTTCTTTCCAGGCTAATGTAGCAAATCAACTTCTTAGACAAAATGTACCTGAAATTCTTTACCTTCCCTTAAAACCTCTATAAGTAACAGTAATTTTAAAAGCCCAATTGGCTAAAGCAAATATGGTATAGCATGGACAGATAAAATAGTTTGTCTTGAACAGGACATGATCTTGATTATTCAACCCGTCATCCGTAACAGTATACAGAAATTCCTTATGTGCTACACTGTATTATAATTCAGCCTATGGAAATGAAGTGCAAGAGAGAGTCTTCAAATGCCAAACAATTTGAAAGAATGAAATATGGCATTTGTACATCTTAAAAAGTTCATCAAAATGTCTTCAAATGAAGGGTATTTGCCTGTAAATCCTACCTTTCCTTCTGTTTAAACAAGTTTCAAACTAATATGACCTCATTAATGTAAAAAAATTTATTCCTTATTGAATTATTGCTGTGAGTGAAGAATGATACCCAAGATAAAAATTCAGTATTTATACATATTTTTCATAGCTTTTGTTTTCAATATACATTTTACAAATGTGCCTCAAAGTTTTAATGTACCGTCTGTTTCACGACATTAAATTAATATGATGTTTTGTCTTAAAAGAATACATTTTTAGTAGTCTATTGATATCCATTCATCCAGCTTTTGTGAAGCATATATGTAGGGGTAACATTTTTCAATTTGTCAATCCTTTCACCAAAATGCTACCTAAAATCTCAGCAACAAGTCAATACAAAATACAATTAAAATTTTATTAGCAACATTCTCATTTTACTGCCTCATTATAAAGTCAAGCTAATTATGAATAAAACTGCATGCCCTATAAATAAGCTTTTTCTAGTCTTACCCATTTTAGATATTTCCAGCTGTTATGATAGCATCAAAATAAAATCTTTGAAAATCCAGCATACTAAAAAGTTGAGAAACGTTTATATTTTCTACTTTTACAATATGTACATTAAAAATTGTAACATATCATATTGTATTTTGCACTGAATTGTTTTACAGCATATATAGATTTTAAAAATTTAATTAGAATTTAATTCATATTCAAACAAAAGATGTTCTATGCAATAAATGAAAAATTACTAGGTGCTGACTTATTCTAAATATAACATAAAAGTATGGAACTGGAAAAACATTTAGCCCACCCATATGCAAAATAATCCTATAAAAACAAACATCTCAATATGTGTATATACTTATATACATAATTATGTATACACACACACTGAAATGTTTGTTATATATATTTATAGACACACTCTTTTTTTAAGTCAGGACACCTCATAGCCATTTTAAAATGTAATTCAAACTTTTTGGTGATTTTGAGGTGTCCTGTTTTAGTTTTCCCATCAGAAAAAGAAGGAAACCACTCTTAGATTTGATTTGGTATTTGGAATCTAGACACAAAATGTATAAACTGATTGCTAAATATAAGGAATGTTCAAATTTTTAAAAAAAATATATATTTAAGGATTCATTTGTTTGGTTTTGTTTTGTTTTGTTTTAATTAACACTCTAAAACTGGAGTTCTGCATCCACCTGGAGTACTGCATCCAGCTCTGGAGTCCCCAACATGGACATGGACCTGCTGGAGCACATCCAGAGGAGCCCCACGAGGATGATCCCAGGGCTGGAGCACCTCTCCTATGAGGAGAGGCTGAGAGAGTTGGGGCTGTTCAGCCTGGAGAAGAGAAGGCTTCGGGGAGATCTTATTGCGGCCTTCCAGTACCTAAAGGGGGCCTACAGGAGAGCTGGGGAAAGACTTTTTACTAGGGCATGTAGTGATAGGACGAGGGGGAATGGCTTCAAACTGGAAGAGGGCAGGTTTAGATTAAACATTAGGAAGACATTTTTTACTTTGAGGGTGGTGAGGCACTGGAACAGGTTGCCCAGAGAGGTTGTGGATGCCCCATCCCTGGAGGTGTTCAAGGCCAGGCTGGACGTGGCCTTGGGCAACCTGGTTCTAGTGGGAGGTGTCCCTGTCTATGGTGTGGGGGTTGGAACTGAATGATCTTCAAGGTCCCTTTCAACTGTAAACCATTCTATGACTCTATGATTCTAAATATGCAAAGTTGTATAAAAACAGTCACGCAGGAAACTCAGTAAAACTGAAAATATTTTCTGGCATGGCACAGCTTTCATTATTATGGTTTTGTGCCACATGCCATAGAAAACGTTTACCTGAGTCCATTGATTTAAGTCATACTAAAAGTTTCTTTGGGAGATTTTGACAACTGTGATTTTCCAGATCCTGTTTGGTTTAATAACCAACGTGCACAGTTCTGACCAAGTTAGGCATACAAATTTAAGAGAAGACGCTAAGAATATAAGAAGGTGTGAAAATACACTCATATAACCATACACACGACTGCAGAGGTAACTAGAATACTGAATTTTAGGGCAGCATTGTAGCACATGTAATATAGCTACACATGCAACCTATGAAAATCTAGGTTACTGTAATATGGCTAGGATTACTCTAAAGGATTGGTGTAGTAAAATAAAATAATGGTTTAATTCAGTCACAAAATTAAGAAGGAAATGTTCTGTATGGGACAAGAAAGACTTTCTCAATAAGAATCAACTCCTTTTCTCACTTGACATCACAAAGATTCATTTGGTTCACTACTAACAGGTCTGGTTGTTTGAAAAAACTATCTGTCTAGTCAGAGGAAAAATAAAGAATGATCTCCTCCTCCATACCCATCACTCCCACCTTGTCCAGAAGTGTTGCTGTACTTAGCCATACAAACAACATACAAATTATGATGCATTCTGGAAAATAAATCTTGGATTTGCTGGATTAATATGTTATACGTTTTTCTCCCTCTGAGATAAATAAAAATACCCTTTTATAAGTATCTATTTTAGAAACATCAGATGGTGTGTTTTAACTGACAACTCTCTTAAATTGCTTTAGTATAGGAATACAGCACTAATATCCTTTCAAATACAACCCCTGCCAGGGTGAATATCTCACCTATTAACATATAAGACATCTTTTTAAAATATACATGTACTAAAGAATTAGACAATATGCACAATCTATTTTATACTAAGATGTCACAGAAAACATTATATTCAAATCAAAATTCAGTTTTAACATAACATAAATACATCTGTACACCTTTTGCTTAAAACATAAGTAAAATCCTGTTCTTCCTGAAATGAACGGCAACATTTGAAATACTTTGAAATATTCAATTGTAACATTCCTGCATTTGTGACAACTGATTGAAAATGTTATTTAAAAATTGAGATAATTGCATCAAAAAGAAAAACGTATTTCGGATATTTATTTTTTTTTAATTTAGGTCATATTAATCTTGCTACCAAATCGTAATTCTCCATCTGTTTCCAGAATTCACTTGATTTTCCCTGGTTTATATATTGGAATATCAACTCTTTACGGTAAATGGTAATTCTGTTTTATGCTAATACAGTATCTAACATATGAGGCCACAGCCCTCTAGGTGCTAGTACAATGAAATAATGCAATTTTTTTTTTTTTCTGTTGAAGCCTAAAATTCATAAGGTCACTAAGTTACAAGGTATAAAATGATACAACAGAATTCTTGGTCTCAACTCCAGTTGTACAAACAGATACTGAAAAAGCAAAGATTATTTATTTGGTTTTGTTACCTGCACCACCACCATTTCTTTAAGTACTTAACTCCCAGTCTGTCAGGGAAATTGGACTGTGCTCTTACTTCCTTTTTACAGATAAGAAGTTCAGAAAGTGATTTGGATGCAGAAGTGAGAAACCTAACTACTACCCAAAGTAAATGCCCTGAGCTATCCACTAAGGGTATCTTTGACTATGCAGGAAGATTAGGTTTCCCAGTTTATGTGTGTGCTCCTGGCTATATTCAAATTTGTGCTGCAAAAAGGAGAGTATCTATAGCAATTATGAACATGAGCTTAAAATACATATGCAATTTAATTTTTTTCAAATACTATAGGAAAAAAAAAAAAAGGAAGGAACTCCACCTTTATTTCATGCCAAATAGATTTTATAAAAAATAAGGATTGCAATTATGACATTTGCTTACTCACAAAGCAAATTAATTATTTCCACAGGTATCACTCTCATCCTATTTGCGTTAGCATAAGTAAGTTCAAAATCAGGCTCAAAGAGTATAATACTTCTCCCCTGAAAAGGGATCAAACTATAACAAAAACAAAACAAAGTAATTTCACTGCATATGTTTTCATTAATACATTATGACTTTAAAAGCCTTGACAAAGTTGCAACAGTCCAAGAAACTGTGGTGCTTAAGAAGGGCTCAAACTGGAGTGCAGTTAGTGGCCCGCAGTTCCCAACGAAGTCAGCAGAGATTTGATGAAACTCTGCACTTCAGAGGAGGATGCTCGGTACTTGAGGGATCTCAGCCATTATGTCCAGAGGACACAATTCAAATTGCTTTAACTTAGCATTGGTGGCTCATATTCACCCTTGCTTGCTGCAAAATCCTGCACTCCTAAACTCTGTATCAGCTAATTCTCTAATCCTTCTCCATTTACTGACAACCCACTTGCATAACCCCATGCTGCACTCATCTATGACGTCAGCACCACCTAAAAGTCCTCTGATTTACCAAACTGAAAGTCCTGGCT